TCAATTTTTCTTTCATTGTCTTTTTACTTTAAATTTCCAACAAACATTGCGACACATCAACCTTCGCAGAAAGGTTGTTGGCTCCCACTATGGTCGCCAGCGTGTATGGGTCAGAAATTGTTATTTTAATTATCTTGAATCTATTACAACTTTAGTCGTTATAATAAACTCAAATAAATAAAAAGTTGATCTTTTTATAAGATCTTCTTACACAATGAAAATATAAATATTACAATTCCTTCAAACAACATACAACAGCAGTTTATCTCCTGTTGCTTGCGTGGGAACTTTACCTGTGCCGGGAACGTGTTAGCCCGTAGACCGTCGCAGATCAGATTTGGTTGACAGAAAAGTTAATTAATGCTCTTGTTTTACAAAGAAAATAATCACAGCAGTGGTAACCTCGACCAAACGAGATTACAACTATTCTCGAGATCAAAATCAAGTTTGGTCTGGAGGAAAGGGGGTACGGGTCTCAGATCTCTCAAAATCCACTCTTTATGCACAGAAAATCACCATTTGGTGGCTCGCGGCCGTGCGAGCCACCAAGTGGTGGCCTAGGCGAGCTACTGGCTTTGGTCCTTGTCTTTTTGATGTGATTCGGCCGCCAGGGGCTTTTCCGGTTAGTTCGATTTGGGCTTGTTTTGTCCTTTACGCGCATTCCGTCGCTTGGTTAACTTGTATGCTTCACCGATTTGCTTCATACGTTTTGTTAACTTGGAGGTGACCGGTGAGCGTGTTGGCCACTTGGAGCTGGTCGGTGAGCACGCGGGCCACTTGGAGTTGACCGGTGAGTGTACGGGCCACTTGGTTTGCTATTCTGGTGGCCGATGAACATATGGGCCACTTGACAGTGGCCGGTGAATATGCGGGCCACTTGGTTTGCCATTCCGATGGTCGATGAGCGTGCGGGCCACATGGTGGTGGTCGATGAGCACGCGGGCTTCTTGGAGTTGGCTGATGAGTGCGCGAGTCATATAAAGGTGACCAGTGAGCGCCCGGGCCACTTGGTTTGCTGTTCTTATGGCCGATGAGCATGCAGGCTACTTGGCGGTGGTCGGTGAGCACGCGGGCCACTTGGCGGTGGCCATTCTGGTAGTTTGTTGGTACGTCGTTAATGGTTCGCCGATTCGCTTCATGCATTTATCGGCGTTGGATAATCTTCCTTGACTCGAATAATAATGTTCATCGTCTTTTCTCCATCTCGAACTGTGTTCGGGGACCTATAAGTAATTTTTGACGCCTACAACACTCTAATGGATACTATACCATCTGGATAATGTGGAGCTGCATCAATCTTCACCACCTACGATATTTCCTCCGTCGGATCACTCTCCATCTTATGAGAGCTGGGAAGCTTCAAGATAGAAGCCTCATAAAATGTGATGTCTCTACTCAGCACAATCTTCCTATCAACTGGATCTCATAACTTGTATCCCTTGACACCACGTTTGAATCCTACAAATATACTTCCCTAGCTCGAGGTTCCAACTTATCAGTCTTAACATGATAATATGTACGGCACTCAAATACCTTAAGCTGGTCATAGTCGTGTGCTGGCTCTCCCGACCGCATCTCCATAGGGATCTTCCCCTCAATCGCAGATGAATGAAGCCTGTTAATGAGGTAGCTCACATATGAAAGTACCTCAGCCCAAAAGATCTTCTTCAAACCAATATGCGCCAACAAACATCAAATTTTCTCCAGTAAAGACCGATTTAACCTCTCTGCCACCCTATTCTGATGCGGTGTATGACTAACTGTGAAGTGTTTCTCTATGTCCTCGTCTCGACATAGCTGCTGAAAGGGGTTTGATGTGTACTCACCACCATTGTTAGATCGTAACGTCTTGATCTTTCTCCCAGTCTGTAGTTCTAACCTTTTCTTCCACTCCACAAATATATCTAGGACTTTACTCTTCTTTCCATGGTGTACACCTAACAACGCCTAGAATAGTCATTAACGAACGTGACGAACCAATATCGACCACCAAGTGATGTATTTTTAGTGGGGTCCTAAATATCTGTGTGCACGTAATCCAGTATGCCTCTCGTCCAATGAATGTTAGTCCCGAACTTCACATTCATCTTTTTGCTAAGTACACAGTGCTCAAAGAACTCAACCTTTCCACTCTTGGCTCCCTTCAATAGTCCTTGCTTGCACAATGCCTGCAGTGACTTCTCTCCGGTGTGCCCCAACCTATAGTGTCAAAGTCTACTCATATCCGCCTCTAAAATAGCTGAAGCTACCTGGCCAATCTTGGTGCTCTCTTTCAGATAATATAAGTTCTGACTGCGGACTCCCTTCATCATCACCAAAGATATCTTAGTAACATTTGCTACAGTATCCTCAAAGGTCACCTTGAATCCCTTCGCCTCTAAAGCTCCAACTGAGATAAGATTCTTCTTCAGTTGAGGAACAAATCTCACCTCCTTTAATTCACAGACTACTCCATCGTGCATCCGAATCCTCATGGTACCTATCCTATAATTGCCTCAGGATTAATCATTTCCCATAACAACAATACCCCCATCGAGTCTCTTAAATGATGCAAACCAATTTCGTCTAGGAATAACATGATAAGTAGTGCCAGAATCAAGCATCTAATCTGATGCATTCAAGTGGTTCACCTCTGTAGTAATCAGTAGAGAAAAGCTCGAATCATTTGAATCATCGCCTCTCGTAACGTTCACCTCATTGGCCTTCTAGCCCTTTTTCTTACCATTCTCCTTCTCCTTAAGCTTTAGACAGTCTCTCTTCCAATGTCGCTACTCCTTACAGATTGCACATTGGTTCTTTTCTAATTGGTGATGCTCTCTCGACTTTGACCTGCCTCTATTGCCACCTCTCGGATATGGGCTTCTACCTCTCGTCGACAAGGCCTCTCCTGAAGTATTAACGCGGGAAGTCTCCGTGTCCTTCCCCCTCAAATCATAGTTCGTCAAAGCGTTAGTTACTTCACTATAGCTGATAGAAGATCTCCTATTCAACAAAATAAGCACAAAAGTATTATACTTCTTATCGGGTAAGGAGCCCAACAAAATAATCGTCTTGTATTTATCTGATATCTTCTCATCAACATTCGCTAAGTCCGACAATAACTTAGTGTAGTTGTTCACATGAACTACTAGTGAGGTGCCCCTGGACATCTGAAACCTGAATAACCTACGTAGCAAGTACAATCTATTCTCAACACTCTTCGTAAGGTACTTGTTATTGAGAATTTCCCACATCTTCATTGTATACGTCACCCCAATCACATCATATTTCAGCTCCTGTTCCAAACATGACCTTATCGCCCCACAAGTGTTCCTATTCATCTTTTCTAAACTATTTTTTCATATTTTGGTGGCCTCTCATGAACCATGATGGTCTTTTCCAAATTCTGAGCATTGAGCGCATCCTGTATGTCGCTCATCTACAAACCAAAATTGATCTTATCGTTATATTTAACCATACTAATTTTAGCATTCTGAAAACCAATTTAAACTGTACTCGCCATCTTGCTGCTTTTACCATCTTCTTCACCCATACTCACAAACTCCAAATTGTAGAGAAAAATTCAAACTTGATAGAATTTAAAAGTGACCCAAGTGAACCCTAGAACGAATTCCAAAATAGATCTCCTAACCACACGAGGAAACCGAAATCTTTAACGGCAACCCTAAACACTATCTCCATTGAAACCTAGAACTCTAAGAACCAAGCTTGCATGACGAATCTTCCTCCACCTAATGCTAAAACCCTAGATCCGAAATTGAGCTCTGATACCAATTGTTGTGCGCCTTTGCGGAAGCGTGCTCGACAACCAAACAAGTCTGCGAGTCACGGGAGAAGATTAACAAACCAAATACGAGCACAATCCAATCCAAAATATGATAAATCAAACCAAACACAGAGATATACGTACGTGGTTCGGTAATTTGCCTACGTCCACGGGGAGAGGATGGGGAGCTTCCACTAAATCAAGGAGAGTACAAAGGGTTACAATCTCACAAAATCACTCAAATAAACCCTAAACCAAATATCTCAACTTGCTCACAAGTTCTCCCTCTCAATATACTCAGTACAATCTCAAATCTATATTAACAAAACCCTAAAATCGTGTTTCAATATATATCAAAATACAAACCAAATCAAAACAAGAAATAAAGCCCAGACTCAAACCCGACTAGCGGTCGACCGTGCCAAAGCTCGCGGTCAACCGGACAGAACGACAGAATCCAGAAAACCATTACAGGGTTTAGCGGTCGACCGGACCTAACCTCGCGGTCTACCGATCAGAACTCCAGAAACTATCATGTACTCGTGCATGTTCGCGGTCGACCGCGCCAAAGCTCGCGGTCAACCGACTAGCACCCAAATGTCTTTCCGCTTCAAATTTCCTGAACTTTACCAATATTTTCGTCATTTCTACAAATAATTTGAGGGACCGATATAAATTTATGAAGATTTGAGGGACCAATACAAAATATCCATTCCACTAAAAAGGTAGAGATCAAAATGGGCACATCCACCTCGATGGAGGCCAGCCATGATTCAAATGTCCGTGAATAGATAATTAGATAGGATATGATATGAATCAGCTGTATTTGGAAGGCTACAAACTGCAATATATATACAATTAATTTGTTGGCAACTTTTAGCACGTTAATATTTGACTAAAAAAGCACTGAGATCGTCGCTGGTCTTGGTTGCTTGTTTGAAGTCACGGGGGGCAAGGACAGAGTAATGTATGGGAATGGGGAGACTTGAGGAGAGAATGACAAAACTTATGGGGTCCGTTTGGTCGTATTTAGGTGAGTCTGATTCGGCAAAGTTTGTATTGCAAGTAGAAGAGGTCTATACTGTACATAGCTGCTGCATATTGAACAATAGTAGCTGTGGCTCTAGTTGCATGCAACTAATACTTATATTGCAATTAAGTTCTAGCGAACCAAAAAAGGACCAAAATTGTGTGCACTGGCATCAAACACGGAAAAGCAAGAAATTACCTGGAAAACTATGGAGGAGTTCTTTTAAAGATATTACAACTTATTATACAATAACAATACATGCGCATCATCACTGGAAGCACGCGCACACACATACTTGCTCGCCAACCGTCAGAATATCTGTCCGTTTTTACAGTACCTTGTGAATGAGAGATCCTCAATGTCAATGAACATGTAAAACATCAGGTGACATTGATATCATTTGAAGCAAGCTTGAGTTTGAAAATGTATTTTCAAGTGAAGGTTCAGATGATGTACTGCCCGCCATATTATCGTTAACAATGTGTATAAATTCCTTTGCCGCTGCAACCATACACAATCCTCTCCTCGACAAGCAATGCACTGCGAAAATTGCTAACTTCTCAATCTGCTCGCACTGAACAGGTAACTGCTCCTCAAATCTAAGGCAAGGATCAGCAATCTCATGAAATTTCCTGTCCTTTATCTTATCTAAGATCATTTCTTCAATGCTCTCACATTTTGTTCCCACAATTAGCTCAAGAAGTATGAGACCAAAGTTGTGCACAACATCTGCACCATGAGAAACTTGTGTAGATACTGTGTCAATTAGCCTAAAACTGGCAATCTTGACTGAATAGTCTGGGAGTATATAAATGTCACTAGATTTGAGGCTATGAGGTTTGATAGATGAAGAGATCTTGGACTGGAAATGTGCGAGACCACTTGCAACCTCGGTAGCTATATTGATCCTTCGGTACCAGTTAAGAGGTCCATTCTCTCTACCAGGCTGAAGGAGATCCTTAAGTGCTCCATTGGGGAAGGATTCGTGCACAAGCAAGAGATTATGACCTGAGCTTATGCAGCAACCAATGATTTTAGCAATGTTTTGATGGGAGTTACGAGAGAGAATCTCTACTCTATCAAGAATCTGATTAAGATTCTGTTTTGTCTGGCATCTAATTCTTTGGACGGTGACAAGGGATCCATCGCTGAGCACTCCAGGGTGCACTGATTCGTTTGCAATATCGACGAGCTTCTGGTCTTGATTGAAGCCCTTGGTGGCTTCGTTGAGTTCTTGGTAAGTGAACACACGAGTCTGACGTGCCTTTGCAAGGATTTTTGGGAGACAAGATTGTTCAGGATCATATCGATATCTTTCGTTAGGAGTGTATCTTAAGAGAAAATAACACGCTGTAGCAGCAGCGGCGAAGATAACAGTAACCAGTAGACCTGTTTAGAGAAAGAGGGGGAAAATGTTAATTCGACATAATAGAGTGAAACAACAGTAGAGGATGCTAATGGACTAGCTTATATGTATCAAAAAAAGGACTATATGGTCTCAAACCAGGTGTAATTTCCTATAACAAAATAAGAAACAGACTGAAGCATGCTGAAAATTTAATGTTCATTACTCAGGTAGGGACTCAAACTTCAAAATTCAGGTTTGTAGAAACGACGAAAAGATTGGAGAAGATCAGGAAAAATGGAGCAGACGGACATTCGGGTACCGTGAGCTTTGGCACGGTCGATCGTCAACGTGCACGACTTAGTACAGATTCTGGATTTTTGGCCGGTCGACAGCGACGATTTCGACGGTCGACCGCCCTGATTTCATTTTCCTGTTTGGTTTGGGTTTGTTGTTTGATATAAATTCAAACACACGTTTTAGGGTTTCTTTGGAGCAGTCAAGGGTTTGTTTTGAGCACAGAAAAAGGAGATCTTTCTGAGCTATTGGGAAGGGTTATTGTTTGAGAGATTGAGAGCTTTGTTAGTAAGATTAATTGGTTTGTTTTTGAGTGATTTGTAATCTCAGTTTATACTTTTTTTCTCTATTAGTGAAAACTCATCCCCTTCTTGTCCCGTGGACGTAGGCAACTTGCCGAACCATGTAAAATTAGTTGTTTGTGTTTGTGCCGTTATTTTGCATTGTTTGACTTTCTCTTTCGGCGCTTGGTTTGGTTCCTCAAAGCAAAACGATTGGTGGCTTCCGCGCACAACAAGGTTCGCAATGATGACAGATAAAATACAAAGCCTTATGAAGGTACCGAAAGGTTTTGTATTAGGCTAATGAATCAGTGTTCAACCTCAGGGGAAACCGATTTCATACGTTACACATGGATGGGCTCCAAGTTGGCATGCATTATAATAAACCCAACAGTTCTTTTCAAAATCTATGCTTTAATTTTATGGATCCTAAAATGCTTACCAACAGCAACGATAACTTTCTTTTTGCAGAGCCGTCCCTTGCAGCAGTCTCCATTGTAGGTCGCATTCCCGACATTATCACATGCTGCAAACACAAGGTTGTATTAGTTTCTCCAACTAATTTCTTCAAACAGAGGAAGCCAGCAATAGGCGAGGGCATACTTGGGTCATATGTTAATTTGAGAGGTATCTACCTTAAGCTGTTATGATAGCACTCATTAGTTATAACTTTTAGCTTGATTAATTTTAAAAATGTGCATGTTATACGTACTAAGCATTGGTACTAACTTTTTTGAGAAAAGACTAGCATCGATCCTTACTGCGTTATTGAACTATCTACGTGGATAACATGGATCTAAATAACACAAGGTGAAGTGGAAATTAAAAGTAGAACTAGAAGATAAATAATAACTCAAAATTAGAACGTAAGGCTGTGAAATCAGCGAACTAGAGGCTCAACTAATAAGACGTAATCACAATCCCACACTCATCAAAAATCATAAACCTTAAAACCTCACTATGTATCTTAAAAAGAAAATAAGGGTTAATTGCACATAGACCCCCTGCAGTATCATTGTTCCCAGCTTACTACCCCTTTACCTTCATTAATTGTTGCAGATAGACCCCGGGCTTAGACTTTTACAGGTATCATCCTTAGGTGAAATTAGCGAGTCTGTCTCGGGGGTAAACGAGTCAACAGAAAACATTTAACCAGAGAGCCCCCTTCAACAACAGCACTGACAGTAAGCTCAAAACACTGATACTAGGGGGTCTATTTGATATTAACCAAATAATTACCAGCGTAAGTAAAACTAACTAATTACAATTAAAGCTCTACTCACATCTGAAGCCATCCAGTCCCAGCAGCAAACCCATCCCCAACAAAGCCCGGCCCACAAGCACACCTCACCCCGCCCTTCACCGCCGCGGCCTTCACCTCCGTCGCCCCTTCCACGCACTCCGTCCCATTCCCGTACCCTCTCGGCACGGCCCACTCCATCTCAATCCCCCTCTCCACCCTCTCCTCCCCTGTCGCCTTCGCCCAGCTCGAGAACCCCCTGCAACCGAACTCCTTGAACACCCCGAACCCATCCCCCGCCTTCCACTCGCTCCCATCCGCCAAAGGATAGCAGCACCCCCGGTTTCCGTTGTCGCAGTCTCCGTCGATGTCGGCGCAGGTGGATCGGCAGACGGAGGAGTCATCGCAGTCGTAGAGGCGGAGGAAGT